TGAATAGAGATAAGAAAGGTACACATGTGTACCTTCTGTACCTTTTCAACGAACGTATTCGACAACGTTTGCACCTCATAACGTACAAAATGTGTACCTGACTGTACGTTTCTGCTTTGCTGTGTGACATTGGGCTCCATGGCAGGCAAGGAGGATGAGATGAATTTAACTTTATCCCATCCACATCCGTAAGCGTATGAGCATGCGAAAAAGTGTTTAATGAGCTGCATCGAAAGCTTTCTGTTACGCGTCCGCTCTTGGCTGCGTCATTATTACGAATTTAGTGCAACAATGGAATACACCCTGCATTAGGATGTTTAAAAAATGCAGGACAAATTAGATGGCAGGGTAGGTTGTATCTCGTGAGAATATGGCCTAGATGATCTAGGCCATATTCTCACGAGATACAACCTCTAACCATTCGCATCCAGGCTAGATCCAAATGGTTAGAGGCAGTGGCGTGCCGACTGATAGCAAAGTGGTTCAGCAAATCCCCTCCGGCTCAGCACTCCCTCACCCGTCAACAGTGGATGGGATTTGGAGGACTGCATTCGAGCTGCACAGGCAGCAATTCCCAAGTGCGTGCTGGAGAATGCCTTCGAGGGCTGCTTTCATTAAATGTTATTCTGCTACAAAGTTGAAGAGAAATGAATCTGCTTTATTTCAGCTTTGATTAGAGTCCGAAAACACTCTCCTAGCCAAAGGTAACCCTTCTACTCCCCCCCCCCTCCACCCAGGGTCTCTTTCCCCCACGGAGGGGGGAGGGGGCTGGGGGGTCAACTTTGGAGTTGTATATCTAGAGATCTGTTAGAGGTAGAGCTTTGAAAATTTTCATGTGCTGTTTTATTCTGCGGCAGACACCCTGTACTCCAGGATCCTGTAGTATACCTTGTACTACAGGATCATAATACACATTGTGGTAGACAAATAAGTGTTGTGAATTTTGAGAACATCGTTTCCAGGACAAACATAGTTATTCAGTCCAGAGGGATGCAGAACTGGGACCATCATGACAATCTGAGTCAAAATAATTGAGAGAATAGGAATGTCCGACATGAGAAAATTCCTGAGAATAACGTTAACCCTTGGGCTTGGTAAATTATAGAATCACGAAAAAGAACTCGTATGTAATATTCCTTGTAGCTGTAGAGATTTGCTGTTTCTTAGACTATATGGCTGTCATTTATTTAAATTGAACTTCTGCTCTTCAAATCTTTCCCGCTGCTACTCGCTTTCATTGATGAATACGTCTGAGAAGATGTTGAAAATGTGTCTCCGAATGCTGGCTCAGTAATGGGTTGAAGGAAGGACGGAAGGGAGGAGGAGATTAAGAAGAGTTGAGAGGGATCGTCGTAGAAGCAGCCTCAATGTGTCGCTAACGTCTAGAGCTTGGAAAAAATGCTCCATGTACCTGTCGGAAGTGATGCAGCAAATGGCACCTTATGCGTGACCAGCGCTTTCGTCGCGAACATGGTCGTGGACCGTTCGCGATCTCATCTCGTCGTTGCACAATTTCGTAGCAGACACAGATCGTCGCATTTGCACAGCGAAGCCTTTGCAGACAAGGGTCAGGTGAATAAATGCGAAGGAAGGAATGGAGCATCGGAGTTCCTGATGGCTATCAGCTGCGAGAGGGAAGGGAAGGAAAGGATCTCTGCCTTTTTTTTACTATTTTTTTTGCGGCGCCATTCATACAAAAATTTGAGTTTTCATGTGCTCGGCATTGGGAAGCGTCAAAATATCTACAGCGATAGAAAATTACTCAAAAGAAGGGTAACTTTTCATTATCGAGAGACTAAATAACAAGGAGATAGCGTAACAATGTTAGCTGGAAAGCTGCAAGGATAATAGAGTGTGGCATACACAAAAGAATGTCTCAAAATGTTAATTTCTGGCTTCGTTACTGATTCATGAACTGCGATTGACGACAGGAGTATTCTTGTTCTATCCAGCGAGTCCGCTATTGCAGGGCTTCCCAACATTTTTCACACGCGACCCAAAAAAATCACGATCGTATCATTCAGGACCCCAAGCACTGGCTGAAGTGTGACAGAGAAATGCATAACTTGGCACTTAGTCGCCGGTTCGCGACCCCAAATATGATCCCGGCGACCCCAAATGGGGTTGCAACCCATGGGTTGGGAAGCCCTGTTGCTATTGCCTTGCTTGGGTTGAGACGTCATCATATGAAATCATTCCAGTCCTTGCAACGCCTTTGTGATAAGAAAAGTAGGACGGTGTCTGCGACGAAAGTGTACTTCGATCAAAGATGCCTGCAACTTCGTGTCCGCAAGGAACTGTCCACGACCATTTTGACTGCGACGAAAGCGCCGAGAAATCCGACTAATAAGATTTTAGTGTCTAGTCTCTCCGTCATAGTACCTCTGATTGGAGCCACTATCACATACCGTAGTAGTACGTGGTTTGTGAGGATTTCGCAACCAGTGGTCGACCTTCCACGGGGGCCGAAGAAGCGGAACAGCCCGACCTTTCCAGTTTTTTTTTTCTTTGTTTTTATTGTCCTAGCTGAAAAAGTACGCGATTACTTGACCATTAAGGCCGGAAGGAAAGGTAAGTCTCACTCAACCGTTGAGACCGGAAGAAGGAAAGAGAAGTCTCTCATGGCCGTATCCATCGTATCCATCGATTTCGTCTCTCCTTGTGGCCATAATTGTTGCTTGTGTGGGATGTCTGATATTTTCCTCGTCTTGACCTTCAAGAACGTCAGGCAAGGTGTCTGACTACAAATTAAAAGGAAAGAACATAAGATAATTTCGATATTCAGCCTCGTGGAATGAAGTATGAATGGGATTGAGTACTATTTAAAAGCGTATTCAAATGAGAAGGCTGATATGAAGTAAACAGAACAGAGTAAAGGAAAATGAAATAAACAAATAGTATAATCAAAAGAGCACCTGGGAATTTTATGGAACGTACGTTTCTTGATATGCATAAACTTCAAGGTTTTCAAAAGCTGAGTCATTGATTTCTGGTGGAAAAAGGAACCGTGCACGATGACATGCAATAGATATTCTGCCCTTGGCTACATTCAGCAGAAACAGGGATGAAAAGGGAATCAGAAAAGACCTTCTGCAACCCGTTAAGAGGAACAAAAAAAGAAAAGGTCATATGCATTCCCCTTTCACAAATGCTGATTCTCTCCCTCGTCCATCCCGACTTCGTGCGTCACTGTCCACGAGCCGTTCACGTGGTCTCCAAGAGGACAGGTCCAACCGCTGATGGATATCTAGCATGTGTCTTTCAGCCCGGTCTTTGGTCGGGAACTTATTTTCGCGATTCGGTCACAAACTCTTTCGCTCTGCGAAACGGCCCTCGGCCATTCGTCTTCTGTCGGAAGAGAGTGCATTCTGAACCAAACCGGAAGAATAATACGGAAAGGCTTCGATGGAGCGCGATATTCTCAAGGAAAACGAGTGACGTGGACTGGTTTTAAAAAGACGGGGGGAGTCTTGGACAGTATCTTCGGATGCAGACGGTGGGTGAGTGCTGCAATCAGCCTTGCCACGGACGTTTTCTTCCCTCTCAACGCAATCACCAACTTCTCTTTTCTCTCTTTTCCTCTTCGTCTGCATGAATCCCTTGAGTGTCGATGTGCGTCTGGGTCTCTGAGTTTAAGTACGCCAATTTTTTCCTAAGGTCCCACAAGTGAGTCCATCCTCTACTCGTTTTCTCTGATTACATCGAATAGACAAGAATGAGATTTACTTGTGCGATGCTCATTAATTCTTTCATTTCTGTTCCATATTTGTTTATGATATGGAGCACATGTTTACTGACAGGATTAAGTTAGTACTAATATTATTGGTTATCGTTGACGTGAATGAGAATGCATATATATATGGCATATAGGACAGGGGTTCTTAAACTGTGGGTCGCGACCACTAGGGGGGTCGCCAACGGGTAACAAGGGGATCGCGAAGGGGTCACAGTGAAATCAGGGAAATGGAATAATCACTTTTCTTTAGGTAGTTTGTACTGATCTTCTCTTTCGCTTCAGGAACTTGAAAATTGGGGGTCGCGAACTTTTACCCTCGTGAAAAGGGGTCGTGGACCCAAAAAGTTTGAGAACCTCTGTCATAGGAGATTCAATGGTTACTATGGGGGATTTTTAATACGTGTCCTTTACACGTGACTGGCTCTTCATGCCTCGAGGGAGAACATGAATTGCCTTTCATCTTTCGTTTCCCACGTCCCATCCGATCTTATCATCTCATTCTCATCCGCGAGTACTCTTTCAAATTATCCTCGCCCTTCATATGTTGTGTCTTTGTCGCAGACTCGGCAGCTTGCCGTTCCGGAAGGGGAGTCGTCAAGGGAACTCCGGGAACAAATTAGAATTCCAAGTACTCACACGTATCCACCACATACCTTGAGAAGAAATTCAGGTAAGCATTTTCTCAATTGCTCATTCATAATCATAATTCCTCCTATTTTTTAAGTCAGAATGGTCTCTCTTTTTTTCAGTCTCTCCGTGCTCAAAGTAATTAATCCGAATTATTTCGTGAATGAAAAATTATTTTTATTTTTCACTTAAAAATGCAGATAATTCAAGGCTGAAGAAGTTGGCTTTGAGTCGCAAACCTTACACCTGCAAAACCAGAAAAAAAAATGGTCCTCGAATTCGCCAAAACCAATTGTTCACAAAATCAAGGGAAAAACAAGTGAGTTCCTCATAAAATGTTCGTCGTGTCTTCATTTTTCGTTCCATTTGATTCTCTTACATCCTTTGATTAGGTGTGAGTACAAAAAGAATGCACAAGGCACCCAGAGCAGCTGGCAGAGGTCGGTCCAATCGTCCTCATCATCTTCATCGGTAGGAGCCACCTCAAACAACCAAAAATACGGAGCCTGGGGTCCCACCTTCAAGAACAAACAAAACTTCGTCGACATGCACCTCGTCTGAACAGACCATTTCACCTTAGGCCCTCCCACGTCAATATAATTTAGCCAGATATTCCAGTTGAAGCTGACAGGAACGCATCTTCATGCTGTCCATGACGCCAATATCACGGCCGATGTATCCAGCATGATGCCCCTATTGTACAGGCTCGTAAACGCGGTGTTGGTTTGCTTATTTGTGATATTCATATTTATCGCCACACTTCCCTAGTACGCTCTAACTCCTAGATCAATCAGACATATTATGCTTTTTGCTGTTGGTAGTCTTTGAGGGAAGAAAAGTGCAGCTATATTTTTGCCCATCTCTATGAGTTATGGGTAGAAATAATGCAATTCCTTAAATGGAAATAAAGACATCAAGCTGGCTGTGTGATGTGTCGGTTTTCATTTCTATATGTTCCGAGTAAGAGACTCAAATGGAACTCGCCCTATGAATTTCGTCAGCGGACTGTATGGAGGACAGTGTTTCCACTGGAGGACACTCAAGTATGCGTTTCGGCGCAGGGGCTGGAAAATATCTGTCATCTATGCTATAAAAGGTGCACTATGCACTTGGAACAGATTAAGCCAGATGCCCTTGTATGTCGTGCTTTTCTTCGTAGTCCGTATGCGTTCGCATTATTGCAGTCAACACGTTGTCTTCATCTGTGTCTGAATATTCGAAGACCTAAGTGTGCTGATCATTAGGTACTTCCCTTGAAACTTGAATATTCAGCAATGAAGGAAAATCCTAATCTTTCTCATCATGGAGAACGATAAATAGCATGGGCCTCAGCCCGCACCTATGATTCTTGCAGCCGTGGGCCTTGACAGTCAGGGCCTAGCTTTAAGAAAACTGTCCTGCTTTCGTTCCTTCGGTAGATATGAACCTGATCTCCCCCTAATGTACTTCTGTTTGGCCAGCCTGACTCGGCGTAGGCGTAACAGCTGCAGTAGTGATAGGCATGCGGAAGCTAATAGCTACTGGCAGGCCTAGTGGGAAAAAAATTTGGGTTACCAATCCTCCCAAGACTAGTATTCATATGGTTCATGCAGATTAAGTTTTATTCAAAATAATACAGTTGGAATTCATTAGGCGCGAAGCAAATCTTTTTTTGTTCAAATTTTCCATCCCTTGAACTTCATTGCTGGTCCTGTCAGAATTAAGAACTAAATTGAGGCCATATAGCACTTTTTCCATATTGAATTGGTACCCCCCCCCCCCCCCCCCCCCCCCCCCCCCCCCCCCCTTCTAAAGGTTAATGAATGAACGTGCCTGCCATCTCGAATCGTACACTGTAGCATACGAATATAGACAGTGACGCAAACAAAGGGAGGAAGGGCTTCACGGGATCTAAACCCCCCCCCCCCCTATGCTTCCATCAATTCCAGGTAGTGACATCTTACACATGAGTGGCTACATCTATCACTTGATGTGGAACCTCTGGAAATTTGTGTTTCTCTGTTCTCCACTATCAGGGGATGGTACAAATTCAATTCAAAAGCAGTTTGTCATTTACTTGCACATCAGTGGGAGTTCAATGTGATGACTTTGAAGAATGGTAAACAATGCTAAGTTGAAGTTGCTTTGGGCATGCATTGCTGAATAAAATTTAAAAAAAAATCTGATGTCAGGGAGGTGAAATTCTCTTCCTTAGAGTGTCTCCCTTTTTGTAGTGTTTTCCCTATCTCAATGGTGCTTGGAGTGCAGATTATAGCTAAGTATTTTCTGCAGTTATAAAGAGGAAGCACATTTCCAACCCACCTTGCTCTCTCACTCTCTTATTTGGTGCCCTTCTACATTTCTTGAAATCAAACACGTAAGCTCTCTGATTTTAGACTTGAATGCAGTTTCTTTCTTTTCTGGGGCCAGAACTTATTTTTAAGCTACTGAAAAGATTGAGGAAATCTGTTTAATCTGGGTAAATCTAGGGTGACCCATGCATTTCTAATATCCTAGGAAACTCCCCCAATATCAAAATTCATATACCACCCAGCCATTGGGCTTAACTATTCAAAACTAAGTGGTGTTATGAACAAAAAAAAACAAACAAAAAGCAAGGGTGTAAGTGAGGATTGCCTTGACTGCCTAGATGACCTTGGAAGACTTAAACCAGTAGATGCAAAAATGCCAGACTAGTTTTCTTTCACAAACTCATGAATGGGAGACTACTGCTTGATACAAAGAGATAACAGGCTGAAAGTCATATTTGGCCAAGAGATAGGCATGCTCAGTCAGAAATACCAGCCTTGCTTCCAGGATGGAAGTAACTAGTTCAAACTGGACATATTTGGTTTTAAGCTGAATAGGTCTTCCAGCTGGATATGTTGGAATTTACTGGTGCACCTTCTCCATTTTTTAAGCATCAAAATGTGAGCAGGACGATCCTGAAGGTTATGATCAGAAATGATAATTTTGCTGCAAACATTTTATTATTATCAATGTCTACAATATAAGAGTTTGAATTTAGAATTGTCTCCATATTGCCTTTTTTATTCCAGCCCTGATCCAGTAAGTAAATCTGAATATTATGGTATCAACATCCAAAGTTTTGCAAGGACTTTTTTGTTTTAGTGTGGTTTTTTCCTTAGGACAGTAATGGATTGATATGCTCTTCCCTCAAGATCCTTTAGAATCTTGAATTTGATCCACTTTAGAATCCTAGAAGAAGTCCCTTTCTGAAATTTATTTATCTACTACGCAACCTAATATTCCTATTGATATTTTTGCATTTCACTTCCAGATAAATTTTCCAAGTTTGAGATTTATCTGACATGGTAAAAGAAATTCTAAATCCTTTTGTTGAAGGTAAGAATACTTGAACCCTAGCAGTAGGCTTAATGGTGGTTCTAAAATTTTGATAAACTTAGGGCTTTGGGGTATGTTCTCTTCTTACCCTCATGTCTTCTTACCAAGTGTAATTTCTGTATCATGCCAAAATATATCAAGTTTGAAAAGCAGATCTGGATGAATAGTGCAATACCAGCAAAGGCAACAGCAGGCTTTGAGGCTGGTGGTTAAAGTTCAGAGAGTAATTTCTTAAAGGAAAACTTAGCCCTAACATAGTATCACATTAGGCCTAACACCAGCAGGCCTAGTTTTGCTGGGATTTTAATTCAGGAAATATTTTTTTTTTGCTTCTCAACCATTGAAAATGCTTGAAAAACTCAATAAAGCATTAAATATTAATATTGGTTTTGAAAACATGGAGTGCTAGGGGTTTTTCTAACTTGATGGTCACAGCAGAGTGAAGGAGAATCAATGGAGCTTCCGGCTCAATTGACCTTCAAAAAAGCAGTTTCACTTGCTGCACAGTGGAAGGTGAAATACAGTAGGATGTAGTGGCTGCCTCTTTCATCGACAGAATTACAATGTTGCAGTAACAGTTGTAATTAGATACAATCATGAAAAAAAGCAGGGGCTATGTGGTTGCAAGTAGGTAGGCTGTTGATTAAACTGCTTTCAACATAAAGCTTTACCTATAACTTGAAAGGGGTTATTCTACAGGGCATTTCATTTAAATTGTACATCTTTGAACGCTCATGTCTCTGTGAGGATGCAACCTATCTTGATGAAAATTGACCATAAAATAGAACAACTTTTGCCAAAATATTCAACAGTTTTTTAATCGCAGTGCCCTCTATCAAGTTGAAAAACTGATCCTACCAAAACCTCAGAAATCAAGACCTTATCAATTTGATAAAATCTTCTAAAGCTCATTATTCATTAGATCCAGTAGCCCTGAAAGTTTCATGATTAGAAAACTGATATTGGTATCATTTTAAAGGTCTCTTCATGTCCTTTCAAATTATATGCCTGATTAAATCTTATTAAATTTTTCAGAAACTGGAAGTATCCAGATATTTCTAGTACATTCTCTTTGGAATTTTGGTCACATACTGCCATGTTATTGTTTGTATCTCCTGATCCATGGCAGTCCCAAGTTGAAATTTTGAGCACTAATGCAGAAAGAATTGGCATTAGTATGATAATTTTTTGAAGGAAATAAAAATGACCCTTTTTTCTGTAATTAAAGGTCAAAGGTCAGATCCTTTAACCTTTATTTTTATTTAAGGTCCATGAATGGTATAGCATTTAAAAGGACATGAAGAGACCTTTAAAATGATACCAATATCAGTTTTCTTTGTTTATTATGACAAAGGTTATGTGCACTGAAGCGATGACGACTTGACCCAAAATTGGTCACTTTTTGCTACTTTCAAATTTCTACATCACTGGAAGTGCTTGAGGTAGAGAACTGCAATTTGGCATGGGATGGGTTTTCATTGCAAAATGCTTTTAAGTGGCAAAGGTTTGACGATTGATATCTCAGTAAGGAGATGCAATAAAATCATGAAACTTTCAGGGCTACTAGATCTAATGAATAATGACCTCTAAAAGATGTTATTAAATTGATAAGATCTTGATTTCAGAGGTTTTGGTAGAATCAGTTTTACAACCTGATAGTTTTTTAATAAACAGCTTCCTCTATCAAATATTTTGGCACAATTTGTTCTATATTGTTGTCAATTTTCATCAAGATTGGTTGCATCCTCGCAGAGATATGAGCATTCAAAGACAATTGAAATTAAATGCCCTGTATATTACAAGGCAGGTAGGGTGAGTGCTGAGTCTTGACACTTCAGCAGCTCTGATTGATTACAATTAATTCTTGCTCTGTGTTTATGTTCATAAAACTTGAATCGGTATAAAACTAAAAGAGGACTGACAGGCAAAATGGCTATCCATAAATTAGGAATCGTATTCTGCACCTGAGTGCAGTCTTTTTCAGGCACTGGTACCAAAAATCTCAGGTTGGCCTAGACTTACTGCAGTACCTGGTGCCAATACTTCTTTGTTGCCGAAATAATTAAAGAAAATGAGACCTCATTTAGTTAATTTTTATAATCCAAGTATTTAAAAGTAACAAAATATCTTCTCAAAGAGTTAGACAATTGAATTCAATTAGTTCCTTAATTTCTTTCTTTTCCATTTGCATAATTAAAAAAGATTAAGGTGTAGTAAGCCCTTCATGTATTCTAGATATGATATGGATAGTGCACAGGTTTATACTCTATGAGAATCACATATCCAAGAAGTTCTTAATGGTGCCTAGTAGGCTGATGCAATTATAAATGTTTGACCTTTTGTGGGCCTGTGATTGAAAATGTATCTAAAAATAAATATTTTGGTTGAATCTGTCAGACAACACTGCTTAAGCATGACTCAGTTTTGGTAAATATATGATTCAGTACATCTTGGATGGAGCCCTTCAATTACAAATTACAAATTATGAGTTTCCATCTGCCTTCATTTCTAATGAGTCTTTTTGAATAGCCCCCAATGAAATACCTTGTCAGCATACATTTCTCCTTTTATGTGTGCTTCTATTG